ATGTCATGAAACAGCTCACGTTCTTACTGCTAATTCTATGAATGCCTTCTTTCCCCCGCTCTAGTTCCTGATCTACGCCGGCTATTTTGCACTTATTGCTGTGGTTTTCCTGGCCAACGGTACAGCCACGGTTATGAAGAAGTACAAGAGGCAGGAAGACCCAGAGTCAAGTTCGGAAGTAACCAGTGCGTAGGCACCGCCGCCCGGCTGCTGCTCACAGAGGGGCTCCGCACGGCCACGGTCTCGGGACGCACTTAATGCTCACGGCGTAGACACGCACTTGTGAATGTGCATTTCATGGCTTCAAAGCAGCCAGCTGACCACACGTGTGTTCCAAGAGTAACATAACAGTGTTCAGAGAAGCAGAAGTTTATTTCGTGGATTATTTAAAGATGACTTTTTTTCTGATTCAAAAGAGAACTTGATTTTGAAAACCAGGTTACCGCAAACAGTCGGGCAGCACGTGCTGCTGTGCGCTTGAGAGCAAGGGAGTTTGCTGTGTCCCAGGTCAAGTGCTTCTGTGTCTGACGAGCCAGGTTGGCCCAGTGGGGACCGGGGCTTTGCAGGGACCACGAGATGTTACGGCTTAAGGCAGAAGTATGTTGTAACAGCACCTGCCTCCGTTCAACTCAGTTCTTGTTTTGTGTTACTCGTGTGCATTTGTGTTTCTGCAGATGAAAGGTGTTCTTCTCACAAGCAATATTTGCTCTGGTTAGGTGTCCTGTCCTGTAAGGAGTGTGTCATTTCTAATAAGTTATTTTTTAAAAATTCATTGTATGAATGTTCTCAGTTCCCATCTTGACAGTTGTGTATTTATGTAGATTTTTGTTAGAAATACATGTTTGCATCATTCATATGCTTCCCAGAGAAGCTCATTCAGTTAGAAAATAAGGCAAGTTTTGAAGCCTGCTAACAATCTGAACGAAGAGACCTAGTCCGAAAGAGTAACATAGGTTTCCTCGTCTTTTATTCTTCAGTATGAAGGGCTGTTAATTCCTGGGAGAAAAGTCAGAGTATGGGCTAAAGACGCAACTAGCCCACTCTGTATTTTCATTCCCTTTTATTTCCAAAATAAAACAAAAAGGCCTTTTTTTAAAATAACTTCATCTCCATTTAGAGCTTTTATATTTGTCCTTCACATCCAAGATAAGGGTGTCATTGGTAGTTGGATTATTCCAAGGCCTTTTCCACAAACTCAGCCTCTTTTTGATTATTTCAGTGGGACAGGAACCAGGATAGGTGTGATCCCTGCATTTTGTACATCCAATCTGCCTTTGCTTCTAAGAGTGGATCATCTTGAATGTTTGCTTACAGCAACAACTGCTAATGATTCCATTTCCAAGGTACTTGAACAAATACTATTCCGTATACATTTAATCCTCAAATCAGCCTACCAGGTGGCTGCTAGAGTATGGGAGACATAAACACTTTTTTTAATTTAATATTTATTGTATTTTTTTCCATTACTGGTTAGTCCCCTTATACTCCTCTCCCCGCTGCGATCACCACACTGCTGTCCATGCCCGCGAGTCCTTCTCCCTTTCCGCTCGGTCCCTCTATTTTAACACTGTTTTAAAGCCGACTTGGTTGCCTTATCTTGAGAAGAATCTAGGTAGCCGTCTTCAGCTGGGGGACGGGGGTTAACTTTTTTAGAATAACACAGCTAAAGAGTGTGAGTAATAGTGTCAAGACTGCAAAATTGATGTATTTATTTGGTTTAAGCGGAAGCTCTAGAAGCAAATGAATAGGATAAGAATCGGCCGTTTGCCATTCGCCTCTTTGCAGATACAGGGAAGGGGAAAACATTAAGGGTGGGAAGGGGACATAATGTGAGAGTGGCAGACTCGAAATTATATTTTATCTTTCATTTTATTTTGCAACATGGGGAATCGTTGGTTTACTCAGTAACAAATGGAAAAGTGGTATTCGAAGGGTTTTATTTAATTTTCCAACATAAAATGGACTGTGGTGCCATCAAATTGTTCACGTTACCAAAGTGTCATTTGGCTGGAACTGAAATCCAAGTCTGCGGCACGCCGATGGAGCCTTTACGCACGACACTGACACGCTTGCGTCTCGGAGTGCGGCCGTGTTTGTAGGGCGCTGCGCCCAGTTTGCCTGTGGTCCTGTATGTGGTCTTGCAAATGAGTGGAAGTAATTTATTGTACTTTTATTCAACTCTGTATAGATGATAAAATTATTTTTATTAAATAAATATTTTACAGTATCTTTCCCCTTTTTCATCAAAATTATTTTAAGTTAATAATTTCTCTTAAGACAAATTTCATATTAAGCCTTCCCCTCGTAGTTAACCTTGTATCCTGTTGATTCTTCCGTCGCTCTGTGATCATTGCCTTTGACTCTTCTCCTGATTTCTGCTGTTCTCCTGGTTCTTTCTAGACTGACGTGGCTCTGTTTATTTTTCTTAATTTTGACACTTCCCATTTCTGTTTTTAAAGCATTCTCCCTTTTAGAAATGGCAAAGACCCACATTCCCTTTCATATTAACTGGATTTTAAAAATAAAGTAAATTAAACCAAATCGAGGGCAGAAGCTACCATCTTGTTTTTGTTCCAGCCCCAAGTATTCTGCTACCCAGGGAAGCATCTTCGTGCCACCGGCGACAATCACTGGTTCATCATATCCTGGAAACCAAATCAAATGAGCACCGTTCCTTTAATACCCCTTCCAAAACCTGCTTCATTGAGGCACGGCATTGATTATCACCAAAGACTTGGACACTTTTAATACCAAAAAAAGTTTTTTAAGATAAAATTTTCTGTTCCTATAGTTTTATCCCCTGTACCTTAATGCCTTTCAGATTGTATGCCTTCTGCCTAGGGACGGTGTCTTATTTTTTGTCTTTTGTTGCAAACCACATCCATATGAATACTGAGTTATGTGAATATGTAATGGGCTCAATATAGCCACTTGCCAGTGCAATAGCTAAATGCCTATTATTTTTAAAACATAAAATGTTAAGATTAATATGCCCACCAATAATCTCTAGCCCACTGGGTGATGCATTCAAGGCGCTGTGCTGCAATGATAGAAACCGTTTTACTTAATCATGGCATCCTCACAGTTAACCCCTAACATTTGTTTAAGACGATTTAGTTTGGAAAAGACATTTCTGGACATTGTCTCCTCTGTCTGGAAAATGATCTTGTAGTAGTCCTAATTCCCCTGTTGTTTTCATTAGTGTGGATGGGAAGGAATTCAAAATGCTAGGTTTTCAAAGGAGTCAGTCTTAAAAAAGTAAATCATTGCCCACTTCCTGGTAATTTTGATCAGTATTTCTACGGTCTTTCTGCCTTCCTTGTTCAGCTCGCAGGCCAGTTACGGCTGGGCCCCTGACAAACGTGTTTGGCTCATAGGGCACATCTAATGCCTCCTTTCATTGTACGCTTTGGATTTCTCCCTAGTGTCTGGTTGACCCCCTGAAATAAACCTCAGTCAATGGAGCAGGTCTGCAAAATGTCTCAGCAAACACAAAGATATGAAAATACTGTATCTGTCTGTACAGGTTGGAAGAAATAGATGATACACTTAACTGGCCCAAAGATGGTCCTGATTTTAATGGAAATGCCTGTTCACAGGTCGTACTGCAGTGGTTTTCACAACGTGCCGTGGTTTTCATATCTCTCAGAGGCTGCTGCAGGCAGTCAGGGATAGATTGCATTTTAGGCCTCACCTCCCGCCCCCCTTTCCATGTTTTAAACCAGCAGTTCTGAATCACCTAAAGAGCCTAGGGTAAACTCCATGCCTCCATGCCTTCACAAACGCTATCACCTGTCTCTGCATACAACACCCTACCTGCCCTCTTGAGTAAGTCATTCTTCTGAAGTCAGTATTATCTCTTTTTTCTAATTGGCCCCTCTTTATTTTTTATTTTTTGGAGCTAAATGCATCGGTGTGCCATCGTCACCCTGTGTTCTCGCCTTTTAAAGTGAGCTCCTTCGTGCAGAGATTAGGAATACGTCCTGATGTTTCTCTGCCTTCTTACATGAATGATGGTGCAATAAACCATTTTTAGTGGCTCAGGTGTATCACGGCAGATTGTACAGTAGGAAACCTTTGAAGCTGGGAGTTCTGAAACCGAAGGTCTACTCGATCTTTGGTAGTAATTCCATGTTCAGTGAGGGAGATTTTCCTAAAATCCCTTTGCCCTTTCAAAGTAAAAAAAAAAAGTATTTCTTTTTTATTTTTGTCTTTTTCGAGTGTGTGGCCTCAAAATGAGTCCTGCAGCAGAACAAACAGGAGGTCATTCCAACCTAAAGTTCCACATGGCAGCTAGGGGGCGCACTCATTACTGCCATTCATTTTAACCCTAAATCCATTTTTTAATAAACTTGGTTTACAGTCTGGGTGATACTTAAAAATCCAATTTTGTATTGCGTCTCTTTTGGAGAAACAGTGCTCTATTGTACCAAATGCTAGAAATTCTAAAAAATGTTTTAAAATAATCTGAAAAGTGGATTGTTCTGAGTAAATATTTTCACTTCTCGTTTTTATTTATTTCTGGCGGGGAGTGTACCATACTAATATTTTGTCATTTGTGAACGCAATCTAAATTCGGGCCCCAAATCTGGTAACGGATTAGCGGTTGGCCTATGTACTAGGGGAAAGCAAAATATTAATAGTTTTTGACGTTAACAGCGAGAAAATAACATACAGAAACATACTCGTAGATGTTCCAACAATTCCCAAACACTGGCGAGAGGGCCAGGTACCCGTGCAAAACCAACCAGGAGAGGAGAGCAGCCCTCGGCCTGCACTAAACAGCTCAGGCAACCCGTGGGTGCCGCCGGAAGTCCGCGGTCGTCGCCGTGGAAACCGCAGACGGGCAGGCCCTCTGTGGACCTGCTGAAGCGGGAGCTTCTGGGAGCCCTGCAGGTGCCGCAGGCTGCCGTCTGCGCCTGCGCGCGCCCACGGCGCACCGGCCGGCGTCGTAAGAGACGCCCGGATGGAGGACGCCGAGTCGCGCCGTTGCCATGGCAGCCGGGTCCTGGCCGCCTTGGTAGCAGGTGCTGGGTTCTCTCTCACTCGCCCGTCAGAGCGTAGCCAGAGGAGGAGAGGGTTGCTCCCCTGGCCATCTCTGTGACCTCAACCGCCGCAGCTCACACAGGCAGGAGGGGCTGTAGAGGGACAGAGGGAAGGATGGTGCGGACTCACTCACGGGGGGTGGGGAGCGAGGGGAGAGGGGGAACCATCGGGGACAGGTGGAAGGAAAGGTGGGTCAAGATGCGAGGGAAGAGCCTTCCTGGTGGCTCCACACCCTTCCCGGTGCCGGGTCCACGGAGCCCGGCAGCGGCTGCCTTGGGTTCGCGCGTCTGTCCTCACTATTGCCCTATCCTTTCCCGTCCCCACGGTCTCCTGCCTGGGACAGAAAACTCACTCCTAAGCCGTTAGCTCCCAAGAACCGCGGTCTTCGTGGCATCGGTGGTACCTTGGGTGCAAGTGGAAAGATCTCCTGATGTGTGTTATTTACTTATTGTCATGCTTGGTGACAGACACACGAGTTTTTCAAAAACATGTACTCACAGGAACCACAGTCGTGGCGGGCCGCAGCCGAAGGAATGGGCCAGGTGGTCTCAGGAGCGGACGATGGGTTCGATTTTGCTTCAGGGCTTGTTTTATATTAACAAGCCTTTGACATTTTTTCACTTTTCTTAGCTTTTGGATAAGCGTATGTTTAAAAGGTGATAAGACTAGAGTCAATGAATTGGATGAAACTCTATTTGAAATTTCTGAATCCTGAAAGTTATCGAAAGTTGTGTACATCTCTGGACTCGGCTTAGACTCAGCGCTGAAAGACAGGCAGTCACGTACCCAGGTAGGAGTTAGCAGACACTTAGGGTGAAGGAACTGATTTCTGTCACTACAGGTCTCCAGGAAGAAGGTGGTTCTGGTCCAAGCGAGTTGCATGGATTTTTACCGAGGATAAACGTGGAAATTTAAATGTGTGAAAACTCACAAGAAGTCAGTGCCAGGCGATTCTGTCGTGTGAGGTGTGTTTTTGCTCAAGCGTGCCGACTGTGTACCGTAAGGCCCGTTCCCTGGGATGAGGATGAAAAGAACCGAAGGGGATTGAATATCCTGTGACGCATTTGGAAAAGGCTTAGCGGACTTGGCAACAAGAGTTTATGATTCGTGTTCTCTGTTTGCTCGGGGAGCAGCCATGAGCTTTTCGGAATCATAGGAAAATAACGGTCCTTCAAATTTGATGTATCTTTTCATTTACTTCTGAGTCGCTTCAACTTGCCTTTGCAAGTTGCTTCAATATGCCTTTCTAAGTAAGGCATATTGGTGTGATTTAATAACACCTACTGTGTTTAATGTGTAATCATTTTATTTTTTTTTATTTTGCTTACACTCTGTTTTGGTTTTATTTTTTATTTTTAATATATTTTATTGATTATGCGATTACAGTTGCCCCATTTTCCCCCTTCACTCCCCTCCGCCCTGCATACCCCCTCCCACCCACATCCCCCCCTTTAGTCATGTCCATGTGTCATACTTATAAGTTCTTTGGCTTCTGCGTTTCCCATACTATTCTTCCCCCCCAACACACACACACACCCCGTCTATTTTCTACCTACCGTCAATGCTACTTATTCTCTGTACCTTTCCCCCTCTCTCCCCCTCCCACTCCCCTCTGATACCCTCCATGTGATCTCCATTTCTGCTCCTGTTCTAGTTTTTTGCTTAGTTTGTTTTTGTTTTAAGTGTGGTTGTTAATAACCGTGAGTTTGCTGTCATTTTACTGTACATATTTTTTATCTTCTTTTTCTTAGGTAAATCCCTTTAACATTTCATATAATAAGGGCTTGATAATGAAGAACTAACTCCTTTAACTTGACCTTGTCTGAGGAGCACTTTGTCTGCCCTTCCATTCTAAATGATAACTTTGCTGGATAGAGCAATCTTGGATGTAGGTCTTTGCCTTCAATGACTTGGAACACTTCTTTCCAGCCCCTTCTTGCCTGTAAGGTCTCTTTTGAGAAATCAGCTGACAGTCTGATGGGAACTCCTTTGTAGGTAACTGTCTCCTTGTCTCTTGCTGCTTCTAGGATTCTCTCCTTCATTTTAATCTTGGCTAATGTAATTATGATGTGCCTTGGTGTGTCCCTCCTTGGGTCCAACTTCTTTGGGACTCTCGGAGCTTCCTGGACTTCCTGGAAGTCTATTTCCTTTGCCAGATTGGGAAATTCTCCTTTATTATGTGTTCAAATAACTTTTCCACTTGTTTCTCTTCCTCTTCTCCTTCTGGTACCCCTATGATTCAGATGTTGGAACATTTAATGATGTTCTGGAGGTTCCTAAGCCTCTTCTTCTTTTTTAAATTCTTGTTTCTTCATTCTTTTCTGATTGGATGTTTCTTTCTTCCTTCTGGTCCACACCATTGAGTTCCAGTTTCCTTCGCATCACTATTCATTCCCTGTACATTTTCCTTTATTTCACTTAGCGTGGCCTTTATTTTTTCATCTTATTTGTGACCAAATTCAACCAGTTCTGTGAGCATCCTAATCACCAGTGTTTTGAACTGTGCATCTGACAGGTTGGCTACCTCCTCGTTAGTATTTGTTAGTACCTCTTAGTTGTATTTTTTCTGGAACTTTGATCTGTTCTTTTGTTTGGGCCATTTTTTTTGTCTTGATGCACCTGTTAGGTATGAGGGATGGAGCCTTAGGTGTTCCCCAGGGCGGGGCCACCCAGTCGCTGGGTTGAGTCATTGTACATGGGGAAGGGGTCCAAGAGGGAACAAAGGCATTTGCTCTGCTCTCTGCCAGATTTCAGTCACTTCCCCTGCTGCCCACCAGGAAATTGGGCCCTTCTGGTGCTGATTCCCGGGTGGGTGGGTGGGTGGGCTTGTGTACATTCCAGGACCCTGTGGGTCTCTCCAATGAACTCTCCTGTGAGGCTGGGAGTCTCTCTCAGTGCCTCAACTTCCACAGGTGTTTTCAATCGGTGCTTTGAGGCCTTATTTTCCCGAGCTGGGGCCCTGGGTTGTGCGGTCCATCTCGTTCCCCAGTTTCACCTGGTTTATCTGTGCACGAAAGCGGGATGGTCTGGCCCACCAGCCACCTTGCGTGCCGCACCCCTCCGCAGCCCGCTGCCCCGCTGGGTCCTCCAGCTGCCGCCCGGCCGCACGCCCTCTCCCAGGCCCAACTCTGCCCCTGCTACCGGTCTTGCTGAATGTCCATGCAGGTCGATTTTCTGTCAGTTCTGGTTGCTTTTTGTTTTTAAATTGTTGTTGTCCTCCTTTTGGTTGTGCGAAGAGGCACAATGTGTCTACCTACACCTCCATCTTGGCCGGAAGTCTGTTTTGGTTTTAAATATGAGTTTTCATATGGTTGCAATTCATCATAAATAATAAAGCATATCTATTAAAGTCTTCTGGCAACTATTTATTTACAAGTTCAACTATGTTTATTAAATTTGAGGCAAAGCACTAAAGAGCTCCATAGAAATTTTATTCTAACGGTTATGTTACTTAAACATCTCAAAATAGTACATTTCAACAGTATGTCTCTGGTCTGAAAAGAAAGCTGATTATCCTAAGGCATTAGTGACTGAAAAAATAGGATTACTTACGTGTCTTGGATCACAGTGAATTGTACTTTGTTCAGCAGATTCGTGGCACCCTTATTTCAGTTGGCAGGTAAGCAGACATAACTGTTAATGTGATTTCATCTCTCTGGCAGGGAGGCAGTGGAAACTCACTCCGAAATAATTGATTTGGTTTGTTCAGGTCACCTCCAGGCATTATTGCTCTCAACCTCTGGTTCAAAAATTGTTGCAGCTTTACCTTGAGCTTTTTGAGAAAGTCCATTTTATGATCTTAGTTTAAGAGAAGTAAATATCAAGAAGGAATTACATGTTCCAGGTGCACATCCTATACCTCATCATGTACGCACTGTGTCGTGTGGTCGCCGCTGCAAGTCAGGTGTCTGTCCCTCACCATTCACCCCGCCCACACCCCCTGCACCGCCCCGCAGTCACCACGGTGCCATCTGGGTCCGTGCGCTGTTTTCCCGTCTCTTCGTTTTCCTGTCTGCTCCATCCCTCCTCCCCTGTCTCCCAGCCTGCCCCGGCAGCCGACAGCCTGCTCTCTAGCTATAGTGTCTTTAAACCTTGGACTCGGTTATTCCAACACTGATTATTTATTTTGAAGATGCTTCATCATGGTACTACGGATTTGCTTTTACATTCTCTTGCTTTCCATGAGTTGGCAGTTATTGGTTAATTTGCATCTTCCAGAAAAGGTTAAACGCGATCTTAAGCATCATCTGGCTCCATTTTTTCCAAAGCTACGATGTCCATGAAACCACTCCTGCCTGCCTGTCTTTTCTGGGCACTTCGGCGGCCTCCCCACCTCACTTCAGCGCAAGCTTTAACGTGGACGTTCTGTCTTTCATTGTATCCAGATGTGCCCCGACACCAGTTTTATTACTCGAAGTGAGACAAGTCCAGCTCCCTTTCCCGTGGAGGCCATTTAAATGTTCACAGCGGTCGTCACCACTGTCCCGCGGTTTCTTCCGGCTGCTGTTGCCAGCACGTCAGGGCTCCTCGGCGTCTGGCTGTAAGGCGTTTGCTCTCCCAGCCTGCCGCCTTCTCTCCTCGTCCCTCTTGTCCACCCCTCGGGGTCCGCTGGTGTCCGAGCGCGTCCCGGCTCGCCAGCTGCTCCTGGAACTACAGCGGGACGGGAAGCGGGGTGCAGACTTCGCACGTGGCCTGGGTGTCACCCGCTGTCTCGGCCCTGGAGCCCGTTCACATGCGGAGTGCCTGCATTATTTTTGAACTCACTCTGGACCCAGCGTCCGCTAAAACCTGTTAACGCGCTTTTCGCACGTGGGACTGAAGAGCCCTGTCGCTGGGCCGGCCCGGTGCAGCCGGGTGTCCACCCTCACGCCCCCACTGTCGCCTGTGGGCGAACAGTGGGAGGAACACGATAAACCTCACCGTGTGAAAGTGGCACCAGGCCAGGCGGTCCGATCCAGTGTGGGGGGCGCGTGGGGGGAGTGAAGCGGAAGGCCAGAACCAAGTTTGTGGGCGATGTATGAGTTCAGGCACAATAGCTCTCATCTGACCTCGTTAAACATGGGCCTGGGTCTCTCGAGTTCTTGGCATCGGTGAGCTCTCCTTCCCGAGAGGGTCTCGGGCGACGCGTTCTCGGCGCAGGAGCCAGCGAAGGCAGGCGGGGGGGAACAGGCCGCCAGGAGCTGGGAGCCCCGCAGAGCAGGGTCCCACGGTTCTCCTGAAGGCGGGTCTGATACTCGGCGCACGTTTAGGGAGCACGGCACCCTCCTGTCTGTCCGTGCCCGTTTCAGCCAGGTAGGGCGAGTGTGCGGAGCATCGCCACGTGGTCCCGCCTTTGGCCGTTTTGTGACAATTAATCTACATAAGCCATTTCCCCTCAGCCCTTCTCTTTTTGGGAAGGTGGCGTGCCATCAGGCTGACCCCTCCTCAGCCTTCCAGATCTTTCTTCAGGAGCACACTTTTGTTCAGTTCCGGGGCCGGCCACGTGTGCCCGCTCTTCCTCCCGCTGCTCTGCGAGTCTGGGGGCACCCCCGGACGCTCCGGCCCGGGGTCCGAAACCCTCCTCAGTCCCCCGGGGTCCTTCCCGTTTTAGACTGTGTTAACTGCTTTTCTTACTCCTCCCGCCGCAGTCCTTGATATAGACATTCAGTACATCTGTTTACATTTCGTTTATGTTCACAGACTTTTATTAACCTTCACCTGACATCCCTATCCATCGTTAATGTTTTCCAGTACTAGGCGTCAGAGTTCGTTTTCCCAATGAAAAAAATGTTTTATTTAGAGCTGGCAGTGGTCTGCCTTTGGGGAAGGCAACATTTCCCGTAAATGAGAGCCAGTTAAAAAGCTCTCAGATCCCGAATTACAGTTGCACCAGGCAGGTGACGGGCTCCTTCTGCAGGAAGGACTGGGAAGCTGAGGCTGGGAAGCGGCACACTTGTCTCCGTTCGGACGTGAGAAAACGCAAGTGAGCGAGACCAAGAAGCCGAGTCGTGCCCTCTGGCCTGGACAGGGCGTTTTCGTGACGTGCAGGGAGCGTGGAAGATCACCCCCCCCCACCCCAAGGCCTCGGGTGGTCTTCCCACCTGCCTCCTCTAGTCTCCTGAGCAGTTTGGGCTTCAGGAACAGGGCGGGGGAGTGGGGTGGCGGTTGGAGTCAGATGCTAAGGAAACGTCCGGCCATCGTCGGTCCCCTCTGGGGCGTGCAGGTGCGGGCTGGTTCTGAGCGCCCCGGGTGCGGGGTGTGTGGGTGTGAACGAGCTGACCTTCCACGTTCATCCGTGTACTTCACACCACCCCGAGTCAGGCGCAGGGTGGACCTCACCTCTTTCCGCCTTGCAGCATCTCTCTTCCGCACGCGGACGATGGAGGAGCGCAAAGGCGCCGACTCCAGAGAAACGGAAGAGTATGAAGACGACTTCGAAAAGGACCTGGAGTGGTTGATTAATGAAAAGGAAAAGAGTGACGTCGGCATCCTGGAGGTATATATATACACATAAACTGCCTACAGCCCTCGCGGTAACGATGCTAACGAAGTGCTGGGCGGTCCTTGGAAGGTTTCGTGCTGTCTCAGCTCAGCCCTCACAGTTTCCTCCATGCGCACGGAACAGGTGACGTCACCGTCCCGTGGGCGAGGAGACCGGGCCACGGAGGGCCCCAGCGTTGTGTGCTGAGCACGGGGCTGCTTACCGAGCCAGCAGGGGCTAAGTCAGCACTTACTTAGGAAACCTAAAGTGATCATTTTAAAATTGTATTTAATTTATGTAATGTAAGTAACATGATTAATTGCACCAAAAGTAAGAAATGAATACAGTTTATTTCTACTTTATATAAACTTGGGTAAAATCGTGGGGTTATACTCTTAACAGAAACGAAAAATAAAACACACCCTCAGAAAACGTGGCCTTTCAGTTGATAACTGAAGAGTGAATGAGCTCTTCAGGGGACGAGTATGGGGAAGAAAGCAAAGGGTTTTTGCTTTCCTCTAGAAGATCTAAAGGTAAAAACTGATCTGGAATTTGCACTTGGCTCCTGCAGAAAATGGCAATAATAATCTCAAGGGATTCTAAGAACCTCAGAACAATTAGGACTTGACCCATGATAGTAACTTTAATGGTCTTGGGGATAAAGGTGCTGTTTTGAAGAATACAAGTATTACCAAGAGAAAACATTTAAAAAATATTCTTCTGAAAATGTAAAGAGAGGGAAATTTTATAGAGGGTGGAATATTAAAGTAACATTGTAGTATTTATAGTCATCCTTTCATGTGTTAGCGTAAGACTTTTAAATATCTACACTGCCCTCCATCACGCCAAATACAGATCTGGAGTTCAGTCTTCCCTGAGCGTTGGTGCTCCCTGCCTTTCCCCGAGGTGCTCACAGACACGTTAGAGTGCCACGAGCAAAGAATGAGCGAGAAGTACATACGTACGTTTTCCTGTTTCTAAAATGAGTTGCATGGACCTGAAAAACCACTTCAGATTTCTTTTTTTACCTATAAGCAGACAGAGCGTCTCAATTCTCACTGAAGAGGGAACCTCCTGTCTTTTCTCTAGATGGCTTGCGGGGCCGGGGACGAAGGGAGCGTCAGCCCGGAGCCCAGGGAGAACGCACCCGGGGCGGAGCGCAGCACCAACCGGCCCTCGGGCCCTGGCAGAGCCCCGCGGGATGAGGTGGCCCCCAGGGGCGACTTCATCTCCGTGCCGAGCAGCCAGCCTTCGGACCCCGTGTCCGACTCAGACAGCGAGAGCTCCCTCCAGGAGTCCAGGCTGGACAGCCAGAGGGACCTGGAGGAGGGCGAGGACGAGGAAGTCAAGAGGTACATCATGGAGAAGATCGTGCAAGCCAACGAGCTGCTCCAGAACCAAGAGCCCGTGAGCCGTCAGCGGGAGCGCAGACTCAAGTTCAAGGACAAACTAGTGGACCTCGAGGTCCCCCCGCTGGAGGACACCGACAACTACAAATACTATGTTGAGAGTGAGAGCCACGTGTCTGGGAAACTGGCGCAGCTGCGCATTTCGGGCGGGCCGGGCCGGGACAGCGTGCTCCTGGCGGTCCCGGGTGCGAGCCACGAGGAAGGCAAGGACCGGAAGGTCCTCGTGGAGAGAGACGGGAAGTTTGAGCTCCTGAATTTCCAGGACATCGAGAGTCAGGGGTGTCTGTCCCCCCCCCACAAGGTCAGCGGCACGGAAAACGGCCCCCCGCAGTCGTCAGCCGGCTTGTCCGGCCCGCCTGTCGGTGGCGTGAAGAAGGAGGAGCCCGTGGCAAAGCCCCACAGCCCGTCGGCGGCGGCGGAGCAGCCCTGGGCCTGCAGCCCCCAGCCCCCGCCCCACCCCAGGACCGGTCCGAGCCCCACCGCCAGCTCGGATTCGAACAAGGGCGGCGGGAAGCCTGGTCACAGGGCCCGGTCTGCAAACATGTCGCCAGTGACCTCCACGTACTGCCTCTCCCCTCGACAGAAGGAGCTGCAGAAGCGGCTGGAACAAAAGAGGGAGAAGCTGAGGAGAGAGGTGAGAGCCCGAGGGGGCGACGGGCCGGGAGGGGAGCATGTCTCCGTGTCTCGCAGGCTCGGTGGGGCTAAGACGGCTCTCCAGGGCCTGCTGGTGCTGGGTACCCGGTGTGCTTCCCTAGCGCAGGGTCTGGTGGCCGAGTGTGACGAGCGTGTGAGTGTGTGTGGGTGGAGCGCACGCCCCGACCCCTGGTGCTCTCGCACAGCCCACACGCCCAGTGACGAGGGACTCGTGTCAGGGCTGGAGCAGGTCTCGGGCCGTCATCCGGTCCTTTCACTTTGAGGGTGAGGCTCGGAGCGGCTCGGGGGCTGCGGGGGGTGAGGAGAGGGGCGGGAGGCGGACGCCAGATGGGAGGACGCGGGCGGAGTGTGCTGGGGCTCCGGAGGCGGCGGGCGGAGCTGGGTGATCAGTCCGTGACGTGTCTTCACGTGTCTTCCGTGCCCACGCTTCCTCGGTTTCAGGAATTTTAGTCTCGACGAAGGATAGAATCTAATAAACCCCGTGAAATTTTTTCCAGAATGTCTAATCTAATGGAATCTCAAATTATTTTTTGGAGGTATTTTTTCTGTTTTTAAAATAAAAGTAATTTATCATTGAAAAGTCCAGGTAGCAAAACTGGTGAGTTTTTCCTAAATTACTTAAATCGGTGCCCCGATCGATCCTCTGTCTCCCTGGCTACCTGAGGGCATTCGGCTGACCCGCACAGAACGTCTAACTGCAGACACGTGCCCGGCCTCCGGGGCGTCACGGGCAAGGGGAATTGTACAGTCCGGGGTGGCTGGCAGATCGCGTTACTCATGAACAAACCATAGTATAGAAAGCTTAAGTAACTTTACCAAAGTCTTTCAACTTGTTTGCAGCAAAGCTGGAGTCAGAATTCCCAGTTTTCTTGGCATTCATTGTCAAATGGTATATTTTGTGTTCATGTAGGAAATTATGAGGGGGGGGATTTCTGGCATTTATCAGGAACTCACGTGAGCAGAAAGGATGAAAAACAAAGCCAGCGAGAACAGGTAAGCGGTAGCAGCCTCAGGCTGGGGTCTGAAAGGACGCACCCTGAAAATTGGACTTGCGCGGCCAGGCCACGGACGTCTGGACGGGAGCAGCCCGACTCGGTGTGCGCGGCTCAGACGCGTCACGGTCCTGGAAAGGCCCTGTCCGCTCAGCTGGGCGACGACAACAGAGTGGCTTGTCGGGAGTCACTGAGCCGTCAGCTGTGTGCGCACACATCTGTGTGTGTGTGTACAGCCATGGAAGTTACACAGGAGGTTTCATGTAACGTCACTGTCTCCCCACCAAGGACCTGGTGGAGACTGGACTGGGGTGGCCGGTGACCGGTTCCGGTTTCGTCTTGACGGAACTGTGTTCTGGGTGACGCAGTCTTTGTAAGCTCCGCTGGGGCCCAGAAAATGGGCGTTTAGAAGGTAGTCTCTGCTGTTAAGAGGATGGAAGTTTTCCTTTCCTTCCTGCACTTTTTTAACCAAAAGAAATGAGAAGGAGTCGCTGTGCTGTCAGACTGCGAGGGAAGCACTCTGAATCCCGTCTTTGAAGAGAATTTGCGTGTGGGTTCTATCTTCCAGTTCGCTCTGGTGACGACACCCGAACGGTGGGAGAGACTGAAGTTGCCTGAACTGACACCACGGTGCGGTGACGGTGCGGTGACGGTGCGGTGGTTACTCGGGGCACCCAGAGCAGGGCAGTGTCCCCGAGGCCACGCTGCCTCAGCCCTGGGACTGCCTTGTGGCGAGGACCTGGGCCTCAAGGCCAGGCAGCTCCCTAACATCGGCCAGACAAGGCAGATTAAAAGAAACATGTTGTTCTTGCAGCTAACCAATTGTCTAGATGTTTCTTCTGATAGCAAAAAGTGTTAACTTGCGAATACACACTGATTGAAAATACTTTCAAACATGACACAAAGTTTTGAACGCACGTAAAGGTACAACTAACCTCTGTGTTCCCATCACCCCGACTCCAAAGCCACTGAGATTTTGTCCTGTTTTTGCTTCATGCCCTCCTCTCTGGGTGGGAGTGTTTTAGAGCGAGTCCTAGACAGCGCGCTTCAACACACAGCCCTAGGGCGGGCCTCCGTGGGGTCCGCAGGGAGGGGAGACCCCCGTGAAGTGAAGTGGTTGGGGCAGCTGTGTGGCGGTGAAGGACGACAGCAAAGAGTCCTGGGCAAGGATGTCGTCGAGGAGGACTTCAAGTGCAAGAAATGAACAGACAAACCTGGCTTTTTGTTTCTCAAAAAAAAAAAAAAATACAGCTTGAAGTGACTATAGCATTCTCTTTTGCAACCACAGTGCCATGTATCACAATGAACAAATGTGTCAATAATGTAAAAACATTCACAACACTGTTAGTGCCTTTTTAAAGACCGTAGAGTGCTTCATTTGCGTGGCTGCAGCGTGAGGAGTGTCGGACGGAAAGGAAACGAGGAGAGGAGGGCAGAGTCAGGGCATTCCTGGGTGGTGCGCGTGCACCGCACTCCCCGTGGCTGCCGGCTTTCTCTCTACAGTTAATTTGGCCTGAAAACCTTCGTTTTCTTCCTAAGCAAATTAGAGGCTCTATTTTTGTTTTTAAGAAAGCCCAATATTTAGATGGACAGTTTTAGGGGCAGGGAATCGTAATTTTAGAACTTGGAATATATCTCTCTAGTAACTTACGCACGGTGTTCAAGTCTTTCGTTAAGGCCTTTGACGCTCTCCCCGCCAGGAGGAGCAGCGGAAAATGGAGGAGGAGAAAGAGAAGAAAAGGGAGAACGACACGGTGTTCAGGGCGTGGCTGCAGAAGAAAAGAGAGCAGGTCGTGGAGCTGCGGAGGGTCCAGCGCGCCAAGCAGCTGGAGGACATGAACAGCAGAGTAAGTGGGGCTGCTCCGTGGGGGGCGGTCCCCGCCAGAGGGGCAAGCTGAGCGCACTCACCAGGGGCGCCGGCCAACCGGGGGCAGAGGCAGTGCCTGGGAGCCCCCCCACCCCCCTCCGCTGAAGACACACCGCGCAGATGGCTCTGCCGTGGCGTTCTGGGGAGCCTTGCAAAACTCAAGTGGTTCCACATTCACGCAGGCTGTTGTGGTGCTAGAAAGTGGGAGGCTGCCGGTGTTTTTGAGGGAGTGCGACTCTGGTACTCAAACAAGGCAGAGACGGCACGCACACCCAGAACACCCCTGCACCTGCGTGAAGCAGCGGCGTTCGGTGGGCTCACCTGTCCCAGCGTGGCAGGACGGGGATGCTGTCGGGCTGCAGTGCTGTTTTCAGGGAGGCTGAACTCTGTGAGCTGTCTGAGGAGTCTTTTCATGGAAACGTTCTCCGTCGACTTTTCTGTTAGGAACAGTGGTTCTTTCTTTCTGCTCTAGGGGAGCTCTTCATGCATTAACCACGTGGCAGTAATCACAGTTCGGGACGTGGCCGGGCCGTCCGATGCTCAGAAGTTAGAATCCAAGAGAAAGGCTGCATAACTTAAGTGCTGGATTGTTGGTTCTCAAACTGTATTTCATGGAGCGCCTTCAGCTTGCCGCAAAGACCTCCACTCTACCCATAGTGCCTTTCTCCAGCCAGTTCATGTGTGTTGTTGTGCAAAATTGTTTTCTTTGTCAAAGGGCTCAGCTTTGCAAAGCTTACAGACCACTGCGTTTAGACCATCTTCGTTTATTGGTGACGGTCATCCCTCGGTATCGGTGTGAGATTGATCCCAGGATCCCTCCACGGGTACCAGAGTCCCTGGATGCTCGAGCGTCTTATGTAGGTGGTGTAGTGTTTGCATGTGACCTGCCCAGTCCTCCCATCTTCTTTAAGCCATCTCTAGATCACCTGTGATACCTAATCCAATGTAAATGATGTGTATGTAGCTGCAATACTGTATCGTTTCCTTCCGCCTCTTCTGTGTGCGTACGCACGCATTTTTTACTGAGGTGACACTGGCTGATCACATTAGGCAGTCTCAGGGGTGCATGGTGCAGTTCCACACCTGTGTGCGCCGAGGCCTGCTCCCCACGCGTCACCACGCCGTCCATTCCCTCCTTCTGCCCTGTCCCTACTCCCCTCCCCTCCGGCACCCACCTGTCTGTTTCCTGTCTCCAAGACACTGTCTAAATTTTGTTTTGTCTGTTCACTTGTTTCGTTTTTGTTTTACATTCCACATATAAATGAGAGAAATCACAGTTTGTGTCCTTTTCCACGAGACTTACTTCACGTATCACAACACCGTTGAGACCCATCCGTGGTGTTGCAAATGGCACCCTTGTTCCCTTTTTCATGGCTGAGTAATATGCCGTCGTGCATAGATGCCACGTCCTCCTATCCAGTCATCTGCCACTGCACACTCGGGCTGCTCCCGTGTCCTGGCTGTTGTGCGTGATGCCGCAGGGAGCAGAGGGGCGCTGTGTCCAGTAGGACTTTGCAAGAAGCCAGATGGCAGTGAGTTCGGTGTTGAATTTTCCGGCAGAAGGGTGGTCGGCGTGCAGATGCAAAGGCGGTGCGTCCGGTTTGGACCGAGGAGTGCCGGTGACGAGGTCGGCGTCGGCGAGCGGGACACGTTCTTGCTCTCGCCGGGCCCCCTCCCCCCCAGACATCATCTGGGCTCACTCAGGTGAAACAAAGCTTGTTTTTGTGATCAGCAGGAAAACCGAGACCCGCAACAGGCCTTTCGGCTGTGGCTGAAGAAGAAGCACGAGGAGCAGCTGAGAGAAAGGAAGACAGAAGAGCTCCGGAAGCAGGAGGAGTTCCTGTTTTTCCTCAAGGGCGCCGCGGGCCGCGACAGGGCCTTCAAGCAGTAAGTCGGCGGCCGAGCGCCCCCCATCCCTCCCCCGTCCTCAAGGGCATGTTAGACAGTGGCACAATCAGTACAGCTTGGAAAAAGTACCCAAATATTTGACCTTGGACACTGCACACCTGTTCAGGTTTAGACCCACACGTCAAGAAAGGTGTGAGAATAGTAGTCCTCAACCCTGCTGTCTGCATGGGGTCGGTACCATTCTCGCAAGGCAGGGGCCATACTCAAGTGTCCATGTTTCTCATGGCACCCCATGACAGCCTGCCAGCCAGTCATTCATTCATTCGTTTGAGAAATGGGCTGACGGCTGGTCACAGCCTCTCCTGCGGAGTCCTCAGAAAACCCGAATGGAGAGCTGCCCGTCCCTGGACATGCTTTCCCGTAAGGAAGTGCACTCAGATGCGGAGGAAGGTCTGTGCAGGCCAGATGCGGGGAGACGGGGCGCAAAGCCCCGGGGGTGAAGGCGGCCCTGATCCCGCTCCGTTACCTGGGGAGACCCGCCCGCCCGGCTGGTGCCCAGGAGACACTCCTGGCTGGTGGTTTCGCCGGCGCGCCTCACGGCAGTCCTGCTGTTAAAGGTTTTTCTTTCTTCTTCTTTTTGCTGTGTTTCTCTTTGTTTCTCTGCCTCTTCCTGCTTTCCTCGCTCCCTTCCTTCCTTCCTTCCTTCCTTGTTTCCTTTTTTTAAAACATACAACCCTTTGTCACAGAAGCAGTGAGTGTGCATTGTGGAAATGGAGGGGAGAAACCACATTTCCGTCACACAGAATCACTGGTGTTAGGACCTTGGTGCATATTTTCTAGATACTTCTCATATTTATCATTTAAAAATAGAAATTGAGATCGTACTTATAAACTCTTCTGCAGTCAGCTTATTTTCAGTGATAATCTCATCTGTATCTAGCTCGTCACCATTTTTTTCCCATTGGCCCCCAAAATGGCTACAGTTAATTTGTTCAGATTAGTATCCAGTTCAGGACCACACAACCTTGGGTGATGATGCTTCTTAAGTCTCTTATTCTAATACAACTATCTGGTTGTTTAAGTTTACTTCTCTAAAAACTTCATGTATATATATAATTTAGTGTGTGTGTGTATATGTGTGTGTGTACACATATACACACAGGCATACACATATCTGTACACACCCCCCCACACACACTGACATACCGGGCATGTGTGCGCACAGTGATTTCTGACGTCATCTTACCCGAGCAGCATTTGTAGACTCGAGCTGGCCGGCCCGTGGCCTCTCCCTGGAGTGGAGTCGGTGGCGTCTGTGCTCAGGCCCGTTCCCCGCTCTGGGGAAGACTGTGCTGCATGCCGCTGGGGGGCAAGGGCTCCGTGACCTCCCCCCCGGGGGGCAGGGGGCCGAGCGACACCGGTGCCTGCGTGTTGTCAGCCTGCCCCCACTTCACCACGCAGCTGGTTGCAAAGAAGAAGCTATTTGGGACACATCACATACTTATTTGCTTAAAAAAATTTTTTTTAAAGGTTAGGACCTGCATCACAAATAAAATAGTGTTTATCACTAAAAAAACACATTTTCGTTGGCAGTTTCGTTGTAAGACAAACTTAACTTCAAACATTCAGTATCCGATGTAGCTTTGCTTCCTTGCGTGAGCCGAGGGGAGGAGCCTGGAGTTTTCCAGTCAGTGCCCTCGCTGGCCTTGGGCCTGCGGCACTTCCTCGTAAAGAAATGCAGGTCCTGTTCACCGTCTGCGTCTGCGGTGGTAACTCGCGGCGGTGGCGGGAAAGGCACAGCCAGGCCGGCACCAGATGGGACGGTGTCTCCGCAGGTGGCTGAGGAGGAAGCGGGTGGAGAAGCTGGTGGAGCAGCAGGCCGTCAAGGAGAGGGCCAGGCAGCTGCGGCTGGAAGCCAAGCGCTCCAGGCAGCTGCAGAACCAGCTGTGCAGCGCGCCCGACGCCCCGTCTCTCCGCTTCGCCGACCACTACAGCTGAAGGTGCCTATTAAACGCTTCGCTTGGAAGCCACGAGCCTCAGAATTCTGGATGTCACTCTTTTACGGCCCGCGTGCTCTGGTTGTACTCTAAATGATGGAAATGGTGCGTGCTTTTGGTGATGTTGATAGTGATTTGCCTTTTTTTAAAAAAAATAGAACAAAATAAATATTTTCTTTTCTTGAAGTGTTGAAATGTGTTATACCATCTCTTAGTCTATGCAACAAATTGAACTGTGAATGAACTCTGAATTCTTTATCCTCTTAACTCCTAGATGATTCGAACATTTCTAGCTGGAAAGAACCACAAGAAAGGCACAGATTTCTATTGTCATGAACAAACTTGCAGTAGAACATCCCATGAGGCAGGAGGGGTGACCCCTTAGACGAACAAGCCTTTCTCAGAGTTCTATCTCCATCAGCTGCACATTGGAGCGCCCGTGGCAAGGGGACTGGTGGGGTAGGCCTACTTATTTAAAAAAGTCAAAATTATGCATGATGCTATTTTAGGTACGTTACAAAATTAGCCAGCTCTCAGTTTATCATGCACCTGGCATTGCTGTAAATACTTTACGTAAATCACTGGATGTAATTCCTATAAAAGCCCTGTTAGTCCTGTTTGGACGATGCGGAAGTGAGAGAGGTAAGTGGTTTGCTCACAGACTCTGACCAGTGAGAATGCAGAGACCTTTCGCTCAGGTACAAAGCTTGTGTGCTCCGGTGGACGTTTGGGAAGTGTCGGAGGCTACACTGAATCGGGCGTGTGGGGATCGGTGCCCCTGACACGTGTGAGAGCTTTTACGAGGCGGAGGACCACGGCACACATCCAAGTGCGAGGGAGGGTGGAGCGTGGCTGTAGGCGTTCCGGTGAAGCTCCCGAAGACGAGGCTGCGGTCCCCTGCGGACTCGTGCCCTAGTCACTGGGCCCTGAGTCGGAAAGCGCCGGTCACTTACATCTGTCTGGACCGCCTGCGGTCCTCTCCGCAGCCAGTGAAACGGTCACGTGGTCTTGTCCTTTGTTCCGTGAATGCGCTGTACCGCACTGGTCCCTGATAGATGGTGATGGTCGTGGTGTGTGATGGACCCCTCACTGTGCTGCCGCGTTCAGTTTGCCGGCGCTTTGCTGAGGACCGTTTGGTCTACACTCAGGAGACCTTGGTCCGTAGGGGTCTCTTCCCGGGGATCTCTGTGCAGCGTTGGCGTCAGTAGTGCTGGCCTCAGAGAACGGGTTAGAGAGTGGTCTCTGTTCCCTCCCCTTGTGTTTGTTTGTTTGTTTGTTTGTTTGTTTGAGGATACTGAGAAGGACGGATATTAATTCTTTAAATAGCTGGTAGAATTCGTCAGTGGAACTTTCTGGTCCTGGACTTCCGTGGGAAGGCTTTGCTTCTTTAGTAGACTGTTTTCCAGAGCAGCGTTAGGTTCACGGCAAGACTGAGCAGAAAGCGCAGAGTTCCCATGTTTCCCCTCCCCCCACCCTCCCCCACCGCCAGCATCCCTGACAAAGTGGCACCTTTGGTGCGGCCCATGAACCCGCGTCGGTGCGTCACTGTCGCCCAGTGCCCGTGGCTTACGTCAGGGTCGCTCCTGGTGTCAGGAGGTGTTCGGTTACTCATGTAACTGCTTTGGTTCTTATAGGTCTGTTCGTATTTTTGTTTCTTTTTGTGTCAGTTTTGGTAATTTTTGCATTTCTAGGAATTTGTCCATTTTATCCAGGTTATTTGTCAGTGCACAATTGTTCTTTTTTTAAAAAAAGATTTTAATTTATTTATGTTTTAGAGACATGGGAAGGGAAGAAGAGAGGGGAGAAACATCAGTGTGTGGCTGCCTCTTGCACGCCCCCTACTGGGGACCTGGTCCACAACCCAGGCATGTGCCCTGACTGGGCATCGAACTGGTGACCCTTTGGTTTGCAACCCCCGCTCAATCCACAGAGCTACACCAGCCAGGGCTTTTTTTTTTTTAAATCTATGTGAGATTGGTAATAATGTCCCCACTTTCATTTCTAATTTTAATTATTTGTATCTCCTTTCTTTCTTAGTCCCCCTTGCTACAGGCTTGACAATTTCATGAATTTTTCCAAAGAGCCAACTTTTGGTTTCATGATATTCTGTTGCTTTTTTATTCTCTATTTCATTTCTGCTCTAACTTCAGTTTCCATCCTTGTGCTACCTTCTTTAGTTTAGTTTGCCTCCTTTTTCTAGTTCTTTAATGTGTAAGGTCAGGTTGTTGGTTTGAGATCTTTCTTTTATTCTGTTTAGCTCAGTTAGGTGTTAACTTTATTGTTATTATTGACACTCTTACATCAACCATTGCTGAAGTGTGCTGCCAGTTTGAGCTTATAAGAGGGAACAATTTATTTTTTTATTATGGTAAAATGCACATAAATGTATATAAAGTTGACCATTTTTAAACGTGCAACTCAGTGGCATTAAGCACATTGGCGCTGTTGCGTGGCCACCGCTGTTTTCCGTCTCCAAGACTCCTGTCAGCCCAAGTGGAGCTCCGTGCCCGCCAGTCAAAAGCTCCCCACTCTGCCTTCCCCTGTCGCCTGGCAACCGCTGCTCTGCCTCTGGTTAGATTATTTCAGGTGCTTCCTGTGAGTGGAATCGTGCACCATCTGCCCCTTTGTTTCTGACTTATTTCATTTAATGTAATGTTTTAGAGGTTCTTCTATGCTCTAGCATAGATCAGACTTTCATTCTTTGTTAAGGCTGAATATTCCATTCCACACACACACACATTTTGCCCGTCCATCCAGCGGCCCCTGTATTACTTCCACCTTCTGGCTGATGTGAATGATGCTGCTACGAACCCTGGCGTACGAGTACCTGTTTGAGTCCTTGCTCCCAGCCACTCGGGTACCTCCCTACACGTGGAATTGCCGGGTCATAAGGTAACTTGTGTGAACTTTTTGAGAGACTGCCATCTTGCCTTCCATAGTGGCTGCACCATTTTGCATTCCTACCAGCAGGGCAGAAGGGTTCCAATTTTTTCACATCCTTGCCTTATTTTACTTTTTTGAAATAATCATTCTAACAGGCATAAAGTGCTCAATTTGCATTTCCCTAATTATTGGTGATGTTGAACATCTTTTGATGTGCTTATTGGCCATTGGTGTATTTTTTTAGGAGAAATGGCTATTCATGTCCTTTGCCCATTTTTTAGATTGGGTTGTTTGTTTTTGGTTGTTGAGTTGTAGTTCTTTATTTATTCTGGACACCGGACCCTTATTAGAGATGAGGTTTGCAAATATTTTTGCCCACTCTGCGGGTGCCCTTTTATTCTGGTGATGGTGTCCTTTGATGTACAGAAGTTTTTCATTTTGATGTTCAGTTTATCTTTTTTGTCTGTTTTTGTTGCCTGTGCTTCTGGATCTCACCACTAAGAAATCACAGCCCAGTCCACTGTCACGAAGCTTTCCTCTCTGCGTCACCCTCGGTTTCATACTACGGAAAACTCAGGGAGGGGCTGAGGAGCAGTTGTAAACAGTATAAGCCAGATGGAAACTTGGACTGAAATACATCATTCTGGGGGAAAAAAAGACAATGCTGAATAAAGAATATAGAGAAATTTATTGCCACTTGAAATTATAAATATAATTCAGATGAAGGAGACCAAAAACACCAAAACCATTAGGTTGACATTAAAATATACTGTACTTTGGCCAGATTTGTTTCTCGAGGATTTCTCTGTCGATGAGCACTGCCATAACTAAGTAGTATAATTTGGTACAAACATTTTATGGACAGTTTTAAAGGCCTATAAAAGTGTTTTGTGATTGTCCATCATGAATAAACAGTAATAGATACGACATAATGTAAATTAACTGATGGACTGCACGTTTGAGTTCGTACAGTATCCTACAAAGACCCCGCTTGCCCCGCCGTGTCCTGTAGACACCAAGCTGGACGTTCTGGGTGCGCTGGTCAGAGCGAGCCCCGTGGTCAGGGTCTGCGTCTTCCCCACGGCGAGTTGTGCCGCCCACCCTGCGGGCCCCACGCCACACCGCGCCGCCGCGAGAACGCGCGCGCAGGGGCACTCGCCCGCTCGTGGGGCGGTCCGATGGTGTTAATTTCCCTAACACTCAGCCCTTCTTCTAAAACCTTCACCTAGAGCATTTCCTAAGCCTCCTTTGTAGCCCCCCCAAACCACCGAAAAGGAAAAGAACACCTTCCCCCCAACATTCCCTGCCAAGTACTGCTTCAGAGTCAGGATCGGAAAACTGGGAGGGGCGGGACAGGCCGTATTCCGGGGTCCACGCGGCGCTACAAAGGCCGCGCAGACGCAGTGAGCCATGGGCGTGGCTGCACGTGACCCGGGCTGCCCGCGCCCATCCCCGTGTCAGGGACCAAGATTAAGTGCTGGAGCAGGATAAACAGTGACTTAGAGCCTGAAAGCAGGCATGCAACTCCTTCCCTTCTAGACGTAGGGAAAGCATCATGTCACGCCTGGGCAGTGTTCTGCACTCGAGACGTATCAGCAGCTTCATTCTTTCCTGACCCTGAGACCGCCGTTAGGAGAGGGTGGTCGGCAGTCTGGCCCGCGGGCGTCTCCGGGGGCGTATGTCGCGTCAGTGGGAAGCGAGAGCACTTCCAGTGTGGCAGGAGCCCCGCTCCCCAGTGACGCCCGCGGCTGCCGGGCGGCAGGCGGTGCCCGCGGCAGGCCGGCCACCGCCCGCTCCCCTACAGGACGAGCAGCTCCCCCTGGCAGCGGTTGCAGCAGTTGAAGGTGATGTTTTCGTATCGAGTGTAGGGGTGAAACCGCCCAATATTTTTCTGTGCGGTGAGTAGGGTGCTGGGTGAAGACTCAGAAAAGGGACGATCAGGTGGGCTTTCTGTGCAGGCAACGGGGTCCAAATTGTGCAAGACCTACGGAAAACAGGCAGTAACGTCAGCGGGTCCAGCGGGGACCGCAACGCCCTGGGCTTTGTTGAGGTGCAACTGCTACGAAGTCCCATCTCACTGGTGTGTATGTGACGACCACGGACATCCCATGTGAACGAGGACCCTGACTGACCAGGGAGCTCACCCCTTCTCTCAGAAAGCTCTAAGTTCCACAATGACGTGCAGTTATTACACTACCCAGCCCACCTACTTTTTAAAAATGAAGCAATTGCTGTTTCCTGTGGATGCTGAGGAAAAAGCATGCAAACACAGGAGGAGGTAAGGCTGTGTCAGTTCTACAGGGAGAGGTGTTCCCTTCTACCCCGCACCCAAGAGCACCCGCTGTCTTCCCCTTCAGTCTCTCCCTCGGCCGCACGGAGTCGGCATTCTGCCTGATTCCGGTGCTGAGATCCTACTTCCAGGTTTCTGGTCACTCACAAAAGCCGGGGGCCTTTCCTTTCTCTTCCTGATTTATGCGCAGCGCTGAACGCTAGCAGCACTGAACGCGCTAGCTGCTGTGTGCCTGTCTGGGGTCTCGCGGGCACCCTGCTCCCTTCCCTGCTTCTCCCGCTCTGATTCTCTCGGTCCCTCATCGGCCTTTGCCGAGGCCCGCAGCAGGAGGAGCTCTCGGGCAAAGACAACGTGAAAGCGCTGGCTCCATGTTCCCGCGCTCACGTTCACATTCTCCCACTGTCAGCACGTGAGGGGGCGGGTACGGTGCAGAGGAGGCAGGCGGCGCGACTGGGAAGGGACCTTGGAAAGCCCCGGCTCCAAGAAAGGAGTGGTCAAATGCCACGGGTGGTGACACAACTTCCCAGAGAGAACAGAGAAGGAGAACAGCAAGGACAAAATGACGGGTTTAATTTTAGGTGCTGATCCATTTACTAAACAGCTGAGTACCTACTATGTGCAAAGGATTACACCAGATCTTGGGGACACATAAGACACAGCCCCGTCCTTAGAAAACCTGATAGCTTGGGTGATGGAGAGTCAAACTGCAATTCTCCATGTTCAAGAGCTGTAATAAATACATGTAAACTGCAACGGGAGCCTTGAAGAAGGCACATGTAGATGTGCTGGTGAGACTCTGGGCCGTGGAGAGGGCTGGCTCTTCAAGGCGGAGCGGTGCTGGAAGGGCAGCGGAGGCGGAAGGAATAGCAGGGACAGACGTGGAGACACAGGGGCACAGTGACAGGGGAATAAAGAGTGGTTGACTGCTGGAATGTGACTTGTGGGGGGTGGGGAGGTACACCTGGGAAATGATCATTGAGAAGGGAAAATGGAGTAAAGATTATGACAATCCTATTGGGATTATATTGGGTTATTCTGTAACCCAATTACACAATATACAGGATTCAAACTCCATAAGGGAGACGGGGAGCTGTTTCTACAGGAGTTCCGAGATGAATGCACTGGCATTTTTGGGGGGCGGCATTGTGAAACCTCTCTGTGGGTGAAAAGCACGGCAGGGGCTATGGGTGAGGCGGCCACTGCGGCAGCCCAGGCTGGAGGCCGGTGGTTGAAGCTGAGAGGAAGGACAGATGAGAAGAAACTGATAGGATTTGTGGAATCAACAGGATTTGGGGGATGAAGGAAATGCTAAAAATGGTAGCTACCATTGACTGAGAAATTATACTGGATTGGGATCCGCTGTGGGCTCTATATACATTATTTTATGGAATCCTCAAAACATCCCCATATAGCACGTATATTCCACTAAGATAGGGAGTAGTGGAGAAGCAGGTTGCTTTTCTGCTGGTTTTACTTTTCTGGGTGGGGAAAAGTACGAATGCTAAAGCAAGGAGAAAAGAGGCTGTTCTATTTTTAGCTGTCTGGGGGACAGCTACGTGGAGATATCCTATGGGCATGTACGGGAGGCTGGTCGCCAGAGAGACCGGCGTCTGGATGTCAAGTGGGACGCTGAGGGAGCGCTGTGCCCCTGCCTCCTTCCTTTCCGCACGTGAGGAGCAAGACGCCTGCTGGTGAGTGCGATGGGGGGTAGGAACAAGGGCGACACACAGCTGGACGGACACAGGCCTGCAGTCTCCAGGGCTCCGAGACAAGGGAAGAGACAAAGGCACTTCAGAATGGAGTCCAGGCCAACCGAGGCAAGGAGAGAGCTAGGAGAGTGGCTGACAAGAGGAAAGAATGGAGGGGTCAAGGGATAAAGTGATGACGTGACCCAGGAACAGGGGGATCGGGACGAAGGAGTCGGAGCTGGGAGGAGACACTGGGACCACAGGTCTCCGCAGAGGTGCTGGACCGAGATGGCACCAGCGGGCCAGCTCTAGTCAGCGACCGCCCGCGATGGGAACCTGCGGGCGGGACACTGGGGAGGACGGGAGTGCGCCTGGTCTGTGGTCAGAACTGAGGTCAGAACTGTTTGGCAGCTCATCGGCATGACCTTGACTCCACCAGGGCTGTGCGTGCCAGGTCTGCGCTGGGTGATTCCGCAGCAGGAGGCACAGGCACATCAGTGTGTGGGGGTCAACAGTTCCCAAGGTCAGAGACAATCTAGGATCCACTCTTGATCATTAAATTAGAAATTCTACACAGTCTGTATCAAAAGGAGCTCAAGAAAAGCCTAAATAATAGGCCCTCTTTGTAAACCATTACATTTTTCTCCTTAAGAACAGAATAATCCTATCTGAGCACCTTAAAGCTCAGAGGAAGACTTCGATTCCTCCAAGATGATGAGCCCGTCTGCGTGAGAATCACGCTTAGAGCCCGCATGTCGCCCCTTCCCCCAGGACAGGCCGCCCCTCGGGAGGAGGGCAGTGTTGGAAGCTCCTCAGGTCGCGCGAGAGAGTTCACCTTTTCAGCCATTTTTTCTGCCGGGCTGCTGCAGAATTCAACTGTCGACGGAGCCTTTTTCTGAGTGTTCGTTCCGACATTTCCCAGAAGATGAGAATTCACTGCTTTGGCCAGCTTGTGGTTGGCGAGTGCCAGTTCCGCCGTGCTGTGAGGCTGCGCGCTGGGGTAGTAGGTCTGCTCCCGCCCCCACTGCAGGGAGACCAGCAGCTCCTCCAGCAGCCTGCGGGGAACACACGCACACGGGCCGTGAGCAAAGGGGGTGAAGGGGGCCAGGGCGGGTGCGCAGTGAGTAACACCCCCGAAGTCGTGTAACACCTTTCTCCACACCTTTCCTTCAGAGTTCAATCAACCAGCAAGTCTGGCACAGTAAGTCAGATTACAGAGAGCCCTCATCAGTTCATTAGGTGGGTATCAGGAAATCACTTACCAAACCACTGTTTTGTTCTCATATTTCTAGACGGGTGAAATATACTAGTACACTCAGTTGTGCATCTGTCGAGATGCTCATATGCATTTCTTTTCTGGGAGTTGCACCGATTTCTGAATGACATACCAACCTACACTTCCTGGGCTAAAGTTTACTTGGACATGATGTGTAAATACCCTTTCTAGACAGTCATGCTGCACCTATGACGGGCTAGCTTCTGAGCGATGCGTCGTTGACAACTGTGTCATGGGGTGGCCGTCACGGAGCGAACGCACACACCTACACGGTGCGGTCTCCGGCACACCTGCGCTGCACGGCACCGCCTACTGCTCCCGGGCGCCAAACCGGTAGAGCAGGTCAGCGTACAACATGAGAGTACAGCGACCATCGAGAAAATGCGTGACCCGGAGACAGTCGCTGGGTGAGGCTGCTGCTGGGCAGCACGCTGATTTTTCCAGAAGTGGAAAAAGCACACTCTAAAATAACGATAAAAAGTATAGCATGGGACACACGTAAACCACCACGTAGTCACGCGTGATCACTGTCAAGTACGTGGACTGGACGTGTTGCACGCGCTCCGCTCTTACACGACTGGCAGCACGTCAGTTTGTTCTCCCCGGCATCACCACATACATGCCAGCCCGCCCGTGCTGGCTGCCGCACGTCAGGGGTGGGACTCTCCCAGCTCCGCCGTGACCTCACGGACCACTGTGGGTCCGCCGTCGACCACGAGGTCCTTGTGCAGCACGTGACGGGACACGGGTGGATCTGACTCATGAACACTCGGTGAGGGGCCTTTGCATCTGTGCTCGTGAGGGGTATGGGTCCATAGTTTTCTTGCGACCTCTGCCTGGTTTTGGTATCGAGACAATGCTGGCCTCCACACAATGAGTGGGAATTGTTCCCCACTTCTCTACTTCCCAGAAGCGTGTGTGTAAATTTGGCTTTATTTCTCCCGTAGATGTTTGCTAGTATTCACGGGCGAGTAAGTCTAGGCCTGGAGTCTCATTTCCTGGAAGGTTTCTTAACTATAAATCCAATTGGTTTAATAGGTGACGCCATTCAGGTTGTCTGTTCTTGAGTCCCCTTGGGTGGTGGTCTGTGTCTTTCAGGGAGTCTGCCCGTTTCCTTTCGGCTGTCGGATGTACTGGCAGAGAGCTGTTCCTGACACTGACACACACCCGTTACCCTTTTTATGTCAGCAGACTCTGCACTGCAGCCCTCCTCAGTCCTGCTGCTCATCATATGCATCTTTTTCTCCTGAGTATGCTGGGGTTCTTAACTTACCTTTTCAAAGGAGCAGCGTTTGGCTTCCTGTTTCATTTATTCTGCTCTCATCCTTACTGTTTTCTTCTTTCTGCTTAAATTGCTCCTTGTATTTCTTAAGGGAGAAGCTTACACTGCTGAGACCTTTTTTCTTTCCTAAGCTAAGCACTCAGTTATGATCTTCCCTGTAAACACCGCTTCAGTTGCCTCCCGAGAGTCTGGCACTTGGATGCATCAGGTTTCACGCTCCCCGTCTGCCCCGCGGTCTCCTCTGTGACCTGCACTGACCTGACCTGCGGTGCGTCAGCTGCACGGGGGCGCGCGCACTCGGGAGGGAGGCCGCCGACTCTGGCAGCTGCGGTGCACGTGGACCGGAGGGGAGCGCTCGCGCCGTCGAAGGGTCCTCGAAAGGACCCTTCCACAGGAAGGGCAGGCGCACTCCCTGGCTTGTACCAGGGAGTCTTACAAAAGTGCTGCAAGTATAATCAAAGCTGACTCTTGAACCCAGAGATCTCCTCTATTGTGTGTGTACCAGGAAGCGAACCTTCTGTTTTTAGTCTCCCTCCCTCTCCCGGGCATCTGTTCTGAACCGCCACGCACAGCACGTGCTCAGCGCGTGACTCGGTGCAGCAGCGCCACAGGACTGCCCAGTGACAGACCCTGCGGGGGCAGCTGAGAGGTTCCCAATGTTCGACCAGGGCCGCACCTCTGGGTGGCTCTCATTTCCTGGCGGAACTGCTCCCGCTCGCTCAGGAGGTCGCGTACAGCGCCCTGGGCCTCGCGGTGCTGGCGCTGCAGGGCTGCTCTGGCGCCGGTCAGCTCGTCGGCCATGACCCTGGGAGAGATTAAAACAGCCCCGGTGAGTTCTCGGACGACAACCCGGTGCAGAGAAGTTCACATATGACGTTGGTGATCGTCATTTTCAAAAGCTTAAACCAAGAAGAGTTAACATAGTCAAATTAATTCTGTTTTTAAATCTTCACTAAAAAACATTTAAAATGTGTATAAGCTGAGAACTCACTGGAGGGATTCAATTAAAACATTTACAAAATGACAAAGGAAATGGACTTTTCTTATAGTGACTTTCAGGATTACCTCAATATTACCCCAGATTGATCAAATTTTGAAAAAAAAATTACATTAACGAAATATTTTAAATGAACATTTTAAAGGAAAACAAAAATGCATGATTTTCCTGCCATCCAACTTACCTCTTTGCCTTTAGAAAAATATTAAAATAATGTAGAAAGGCTTCTATAAAATGCTTCAACATGCATTACAACATGCCCCTTAAACTGTTCAAAGAGGACTAACTCACTTCCACTCAAAGACAAAGTTCACTTCTCCAGACAGCACCCTATACTGGCACAGTCAGAAATCAAATTACGGACTTGAAGGGAGCAGTCACCTACTAAAACCTGTCACAGGTAGGAAGACGTGCAGAAACACTTTCCCGAAAATCTGCTCCTGACACCCAGCGGTCCTTACAGCTCAGCCGGGAACCTCCGGGGTTTTGAGAGAGGTCACCGGAGGACCGGACTGAAGCCAGCGGCCCTTCAGCGTGTCGTGTGTGGGACATGCGGCTAAGCACGTGGGGGGTGGGGAGGGTGCAGCGGGGTGACGCCCGCAGCCCGGTCTCCCGCAGCTCGGTGCCGGAGGATGCAGGTGAGCAGACCAAGAACCACACCCCCCAGCTGAGAGTCCTGGGTGCGTGCGCACCGCCCCAGGGAGCAGCCCCGCCCCGTGTGCACACAGATGCCACCCTTTCCCTCTGTGCACGGGGAGGGAGGCTGGGAGGCTCTTTCTGTGGTTAAACACGACGAGCACAGGGCACGGAGGACAAGTCGTGCTGTCTTACAGAGCGGCGATGCCATCTGATTCTCCAGAAGGATAACGCAGCCTGCTTTTTGTGGTTTCGGCATTTACTAGATGTCTGGGTCAACCGCTCTGTCTGCCATTAAACTCCGCACTGCGGGCGACTCCCCTACAGAGCAGTGACCTCGAATTCCACAGGGGCAGGGGGGGTGGTCCGCAGGGTGTCCCTCCCCACTCAGGGACGCTGCGTTTCCTCCCACAGGAGCGAGAGTGCGCGTCTTAACACACGAAGTACTTCAAGCACCGACTCCAAATTTTCCACACTACGGTCGACTTCCTGTGCTGCGGGCCGAAAGCCAGCAGACCAAAGACCAGAACGCGAAACGCCGTTTAAGACCGGAGATACCTGCTGGCGAGGAATTTGCTCCGCCACACGTCGCACTGGATGGACATGCGCTCCAGCTGCTCGGCCAGCTGGGCCGCGTTCTGAGCCAGGGCCTCGTTCTCCAAGACGAGCTGGTTCTTCTCGCGGGCTAGACGTTCGAAGTGGTACTGGAGGTCATCCCCCACAGAGGCCACCAGCAGCTTCTTGAGCTCGCGATTGACCTGGAGGAGCGCGTGACCAAGGTGACAAGCAAGTGACTATAGTGTTGCAAAATGAACAAAGAGAAACTGTTTCATTTGGACCTCTGTTACTTAAAAAATGGATCAAAGGGTGGCATTAAATACTTAAGCTTCATAATATACATACATTAGCCTTATCTTCCTCTATCTTTTTGCATCTATACTTACAGTCCACATGGTTATAAACTGAGCCTCTTGTACTAAGAGCACAAATCACTGCGGTAAAAACAACAAACTGCTTCAGTCAACACTGAAAGAAGAAAAATTAGAACACTAAACACTAAGTTTTGTTAAAAATACGACAGAATGTTTTAGGTGTCTTTTGGACCTTATTCAACATTTAAAAAATAATTTCTTGGTGCCCTGGGACTGTGACTTTTACGAACGTAAGCGGAGCAGGCAGTTCGGGGCTCTCCACTGGTGCTCCATACAGCACCCTTTATGTTGCCGCTAAAGCGCAGGCGCTGACACACAGACGCCCGGCAACGGGCAACGGGCACCGCTCTGAGGCGCGGCCACGGAGGGACGCTGGTGCCGTCTGCGGCGGACTGTTCCGCGACATGAGACCACGGTGACGACCAAGGTGGTGCTGTCTTCACTGTTTCCCTCTGGTTTCCAAACCGCTTACAAATTCTGATTTTAGAATTAGCGACGTGTTAGAAACATCCTGCAATGTGTTTGGGAAGGGACCACTAACCACGGAGTGGTTAGGGACTGGCGTCTATGAGCCACGCGGTGCGCGGTCTCACAGGGGACGAACGGAGAGGCCAGGGCGCCGCTGGCCTCGAGGCAAAGATGGAAGAAACACACCAACACTGCAGACGGCCTCCGCTGACGATGAGGGCACCAGTACTCACCCCACCAGTCTCTCCAGTCCGAGCCTTGTGCATGCACGGGCAGAGACACTGGGAATTCGGGGACCCGTAAAACGGGGCTGGCTCGCCAGGCGGCCCCAAAGCCTGCCTTGGCAGTCCGCGGCTGCAAGTTCAGAGCCGGAACCCGCTTCACAGCTTACGCGCCACCTGGCCCAAAGCGCCCACCACCCCCCGCCCTCGGCGTGGTTCACGGCGTGTAAGTTCCCAGCACACACTAGCGCTACTGGCGGCCCGGAGAGAGAACGTGGCATTTGAGAGGAAGCCACCGTGAGAGGTGACGAGCTGCGGCCCGTGAGGCCTCCTCTCCAGGAGGAAGAGGCCGCGGGCTGAGCAGGGGCGGCATCGGGGCGTTCCCTGGGGCCGGGGCGGCAGCTGGCCTTACCTCCGTCTGCACCCGCAGCTGGTTGGAAAGGCCCTCCTTGTCCTGGAGCAGCCTCCGCTCCGAGCTCCTGAGCTTCTTCAGCTCCGCGAGCCCCTCGCTGGGCTCTGCGCCCCCGTCCGACCGGCCCAGGCGCCCCCCCTTCCGACGCCCCTGGGCCTTGGTGCCGCTGCGGGGCATGGCATGGGTGATGGCGGCCTTGGGGACCACTATTCTCACGGCCTCCACCTCCACCGCCTTGTCGGCCAGCACCTTGCCCAGCTGGAGGACGCCTGGGCTCTCCGCCGCTTTCTTCCGAGGGCTGCGGAGGGCGGGAGGTTGCGCCGGTGGGGCTCCCGCGGGGGCCTCCACGGAGGGAGGGGGCTCCTCGGTTTCCATTCCATCCCCTGCTCCGCGGACCGGGGCCGGAGCCAGGGCAACTGCAAAGGGACACCAACACGGACACGACTTACTGAGAGGCCGTACCAGGAGAAGGCCAGGACACACTCCCCCACACTCAGCATTACTACCGGCATTCAGCAGAATGAAAAGTTCAGAGTAAAAAGTAACTGTCGAGACAACCACGTGCCCAGAAAACATGAACACCGTCCCGCGGGCTCGTGCTCCCTTGCACAGGTGGTCGCTCTCTCCTCTCCTCTCGGTGCAAAGTGCCGGGGACTTGGAGCCGGGGCGCTCGGCTCTGACTTCCACGACCCAGTGTGACGCTAGGGGAGCAACCTAACCCTCCACAAGTCGCAGCTTCCTCACCTGCAAGCGGACACACTGGCGGCTGTGCCAGAGGGTGGTGGCAGGAAACGGCACAGTGAGGCCAAGAGCCTGGCTCTCCCCGGACACCCGACGCTCGAGAACCGTGCGAACTGAACGTCAGCCGCAGGCACGCACAGCTGAAACCGCCCACTTGAAGACCCACTTGTCTGTCGTTCTGAACTCTTGGCAAAGGATGCTCTGCACGGACGACCCGGCTGGACTGCTCAGTGCCCTCTCCCTCCTGGGCCTCGCTCAGGCCTCTGTTCCTGCCACGGCTTCTCTTCCACAGCTCCTTTCGCCACCCGCCGTGGTCCTCAGTTACCCCACGGAGCCAGCCCCCACACCACTCTTCACGTCTGGTCCCCCTGTCTGCTGCGGCCCACTCTCTGAGAGGCCCGTGGCACCCGCCGTCTCAGACACCCAGCCCGGAACTTAACCATGAGGCACAGCTGTCACCGCAAGGGCGCTGCCCGCGCTGCCCGCGCTGCCCCCGCTGCCCCAGGGGGTGAGTCTGCCGGGCACCCCCAGAGCGGCCTGGTGCCCTCTGAGAGGGGGACGCACGGAAGGCACACGGCGTCAGAGGAACGTCCGTGTGTCAACGCCTCAGACTTCGCTGCCGGGTTTACGTTCAGCGAACCGTCTGACTTCGGCACCGTTAGTTTCCATGTTAACCTTGTTCCCTCACAGAGGTTCTGGGTGTAGTTGCTCCTGTTTAGCGCATGTCCCCCTTTCAGAACCAGCCCCGGCCCCGGCGCACGCCCTCCTGGCGACGGTGCCACGGAGACCTGCACCGCGCACCGCCCTGGCTGCTCTCCGCAGGCGTTCGAGCACGCGCGGACAGCTGACACACTCGTCACGAAAGCGACAAGGGCACCTTTTCTCAGGCTCTGCGATTACAGCACCTTCTGTTCCCTAACACCAGTTAACGCAAACCCAGGAGGAACGGGACCAACACGGAATTACCTAGCATACTGTAAAATCAAGATCAAATGAGACGATGTATGTGAAAGCGCTTTAAAACTCTAATCCTTATCACAAACAAGCAATAACAATGACAATAACTTAGTTTCACAGAGGCCTTGCGTATGGTAACACTGTATTTAGTTTCTGTTTGTTACAAGCTCCATGCCAGTTGCTCTCACATTAGTTACCAATTAATTGATCTTATTTCCCATTAATCCCCAGCATTACCTTCACTGTAGCCTCTGATTTGCATATCCGAATAATATAAAAGGTGGCTCTGAAACACTGTTGCATGCAGCTGAATTAAATTCAGTCAATATTCATTGGTGTGATTGGCTCTCCCTTGCTCCCTAAACACATTTAAACCCCCTTTAAAGAGTGTGCTGTCGAGGTCAGCTTGCCACAAAGTTGGCGTCCAGAACATGGTTTCCCGGCTCACACCGAAAGCCCCTCCGTCCAGAGCTCACGCCCCGCAAGAGTAACGTGCATCGGGAGGAGTTCGCCTGGGACATGCTAAGACTGTTACCGACACTTCAGTGAGGACGGGTGGTAGGCAGTATGCTATAAGGGTCTGAATCACAAGGGAAGAGACCGGAGCTAAAGATAAATCTGGAAGTCATTCTTACAGATAATTACTGAAGCCTTGAGAGTAGAGGAGAAAGCCCCCGAGAAAGCAACATTTAAAAGATAAACCAGCGAAGGAGGGTAGGACAGAGACAGAGAACACAGCCAGAGCCGCGGTGTCCCACAGAACTCCCCGCAGTGAGGGAGATACCCTAACTCCGCACTTTCTGATACAACCACCCCCGGCCACGTGTGGCTGCTGAGAGCCTGTGATGTGGCTGGTGTGACTGAGTGAACTAAATTTTTAACTTTTAAAAATATTAACTTAGACTCAAATAGCCACAGTTGCTACTGCATTAGTGGAGGGCTGCAGAGAAGGTGGAAACTGAGAGAGATGTCGTGCAGGTCAAGGACAGAAAGTATTTCAAAATGTGGGAATGACAAACGGGGTGCAGAGCTGCAGAGAGAACGGGGGGCGGGACTGAAACGTCACTCCTGCAGCTCGCAAGTGCTATGACTTGAATCCTGTCTCCCTGAATATTCATGTGTGGGAGTCTGACTCTGTACCTCAGAATGCGACCTTATTTGGAAACAGGGTCATTGAAGATTAATTAGTTGAGATCATACTGGAGTAGGGTGGGCCCCTAATCCAATATGGTTGATATCCTTATAAAAAAGAAAAATGTGGGCACAGAAACACACACAGGGAGAATGCCATGGGCACGTAAAGTAAACTATCAGGGTGATCAGGCCAAGGAATACCAACACTTGCCAGCAAACCTCCAGCACCTAGGAGAGAAGCTTGGAACAGACCCTTCCCCGATGCCCTTAAAGACAGCAAGGCCCTGCCAACATGGACAAAGCCTGTCTGGGACTCCTAGCCTCAGAACTGCAAGACAATAAATTTCTATAGTTTATGCCACCAGCTTGTGGTACTTTCTCACAGCAGCCCTAACAAACCAATGCAACAAGACAGACAGCTTTTATACCTACTCACTGTTTGCCCTAATTTTGCAGTGGAGAGAAAACATGGCTGTAAAACTCTGCTTTTACAGCAAATGTTTAACAGTAGTTGTCGCCTAATAAATACTAGAGAATGCTGTGAGCACTCATCTGTACCTCTGCAGTCCTGAAATGTCAACACTGCCATACAAAATAAGCATGAGGAGACCTGAAACCCAGGCGATTCCCGAGGGCTCCATGAGGCTGACTGACCTGGCTCAAACATTCCTCTATCCTATCGTCATAAATGTCATGTTCTAAAAACTATGATCACTAAAACAAAAAGACTTACCTTTAGTTTCTAAACTCTCAAGAGTAGTCATTTTTTCAACTAACAAAAATGTACCCCAAGAATTCTACTGCAAAACCTAAAAAAGAATAAAATGAAAGAATTAAAATACTGTATAAACACATTCACTAAGTCCCTCTAATTTAAATATGAAATTCTACCTGCTGCTGTATTTAGTAACATGAATTTGGAAAGATAGTGTCCCATATCCTTTAATAGGTGATACTGTTACACCTACCCAGTGTCTCAAAAAAAATCAGGGTGGTATTTCTGCTTCCCTGTCCTCAGCTGTAAGTCTAAATCATCGGAGGTGTGTCTGGAATTTTAGTTCAGAAATAGCACTTAAGCTACCATGGTGGCTTCTGCATTATTAATACGACAACAGGAATTTTAAAGAGGGTAATTACTTTCTCAGGAGACATTATTGATACTAATTTATTCAGTATGTAATCGGAGAGGAGCTTCTGTTTAGATGTCTAACAAAAAATAAAAACATTCCTGATGCCTCAGTTTGCATTTTCTTGACAATAAGATTAAAATGGCATAGCATATGCTTTCCAAAATGTATGCACGGCCTTACAGGACAGAGATTCGCGGGAGAACGCGAGAAGAAAGGTGATACTAATGCCATGTTAATAAAGGATGAACTGTACAGTAGATGACCACTGGGGTCTCCACAAAAATGATCACTGAGTACTCGCCATAGCCTGGCCCCGGGTCTTCCCGGACTACCATCCTCAACAGTCACAAATCCTCCTTTTTTAAAAAAAAAAATAATTTTTTATTTGTTCTTGTTTTTCTGTTACAGTTGTCCTAATTCTCCCCTGTTGCTCTCGCTGCCCCGCCCCCCGTTCCCACGGTCAATCCCAACCCTGTGGTCCATCTCCATAGGTCATTTACGTTGCCCTTGAAGCGGGCCTCCCAAGTCCCTTCGATCGAGCCGTGAGCCCTGAAACCGCGCTGGGGAGATGCAGGCGAAACGGGCAAACATCGCGGGCGTGGGCCGGCAAATACGGGGTGAAAGGGACGGGGTGGGTGTGGAGTGAGTGGGTCGCAGGAGGCAGGCGAGGAGGCGACACGCCGGTCAACTTCTGCCGTCCCGGGAAGTCGCACTCGAAGTTCCAGCCCTGTCTGAACAAGCCCCGGATCCAAAGGCGTGGACACCGGACTCCCACCTAGACCTCCGCCCCGGTCGGCATCCCCTGGCTCCACCGGCCGGCTCTCGGACTTACCTCTGAGATCCTCACTCTTCCTAGTCCAGGGGGCTGCCCCGTCCCGGGTCTCCGGCTCGAAATCACCGGGCTGCCCTCTCCGGACAGTCCCTTCCCATCCCGCCCCGCCCCGCCCAGGTCTTCCTGACCTCAACTTCTCGCTCTTCTCTAGTCACTTCCGATTCATCAGTCAGGGTTTCGTTTCCGGAACACGTTTCCAAAAGAAATAGGTAAACGCATTCTTAGTGCGTTTAAATTCAAGCAACACAGGCCATACGGTGTAAGGCTTCAGTGACTGAAAACTGGACAGATGCCTATTTAAAAATAAATTATAGAATATTCGGACTCTAATCACCGGCCCGTGGCTTGAACTTCCGGGTCATCTGTCAACCAAACGGAAGTGATGACGCTGGAAAGAGGTAGGCGTGTTCCGTCCCCCCGGGCCACGGCGTCAAGGGGCGTGTCTGTCGGCGTGGAGGGCGGAGCTTTGATTACTTTCAGCCAATAGATACAAGGGAGCGGGGCAGTGACTTCCGTGCAACATCCTGCAGTAGGAGGGGCTCTGTTGCCGGAGTAACCAGGCGTCGGTGTCGGTGCTGGAGTCGTCCTGTCGGCTCAAAACCTCTTTCCCTCTGCTGACCTCCTGAGACTATGGTGAGTGCCAGACGGCTCCGGGGTCCTGGTGTCGCAGCGTCCCCAGTCCTGGGCCTGGGGCTAATGGGCACTCGGGGCGTGCCCGGGCCTTGCACGTTCGCCCCATTGTCTCTTTAGTACTGCTGAGTCCCTAGAGTAGTGTAACGGAAAGTTTTGGGGGTAAAACACTGAGTCTAACAGCCGGAGGTGAAACATGATTCCGAACAAACTTTTTAAATGTTTGCATTTTCATCATTGCATTTTTCAAGCTCGGCTTCACCTTAGCGTGCTTCATGTAAGAGTGTGTAGTGGTGGGTACGTGACTGTTTCAGCCCGGCTGCGGGTCTCCCTGGATTTTAGTCTTTGCTCCGCCGGGTGGCGGGACCCGGTCCCGCACCCCGTCTGAGGGCCACCTAGTAGGAGCCAGTTGATTCCTTCTGGGTCCGTACTTTTTTTTAAAAGAAATGCCCCGTCTAGGTAACTTGGGGAGCTATCCAATATCACTTGCTTGAGCTACGGCCCCAGAAATTCTGAGTTAATTGAAATAGGGCTGGGGATTTGCATGTTTTAGAGGCTTGCAGGTGATTTCAATTCACTCACCTGTTTGAGAACATGAGAGTTCTACTTCATTCACATCATTAGCAAAATTTTAAACATTTGTGAATAACGGTCTGGAGACAGTTGACTGTTGTCAGGTGGGTATAGCTGTGAATTTAGCAACAGAGCCTCACTCAGCACCCCCTCTTTCTTGGGTTTTGTTACCCAGCCTGCCCTGCCTGTTCCCCCAGAGCCCCATTCAAGCCTTCACCCCAAAAACCCTGCCCCTCCTCCTCCCTCCATTCCAAGCAGGTGACAGAGTCTAACAGTTTCTTCAACCTCCTGCCCCAGACCTACACATTGACCTGCAGCTTTATCCTCCACTCAGTGTTGTGTTTCCAGTTTGGAGGAAGAGGTGCTGAAGGGTGACACACCCATTATTTCCTCGGGTCTCACTCCTTGCCATTCATGACAATACTGTTCTCTTTTTGTGTGTGATTGTAGCCTTTTTCTCTCCACTTCCTTCCCTCACTGTTAAAATCATACATCTTAAGAAAATGAAATAAAACAAAAACACATCCTCCGCCTTGTGTTTCTCCACAGTTCTTCCATCTACCTACCCGTAGATCTCTAGAAAGCATAGTGTTTTCACTCACTTCAACTTCTGCCTCCTCAACTTTCATTCTCAATATTCTGTCGTCTGACTTCTTCTCTAATGACTTCAGGGAAGTTCCTCTTGCTGAAGTTTCTAGTGGCCTTTTAAGTGCTAAATCCAGTAATTCTCAGAACTTACTCAGGCTCCCTTTAACAACAAATTCAAGGGCATCCATTATGCCTCCCCCGGCTTTGCCTGATTTGTAAATGCTATCCTCCGAGACTCGTTCCTTAATTAATTTCACTTTCTAGCCTATGCATTTTCCTTGGGTGATTTCAAGTCCACAGAGTTCTCCTAGTGCCTAAGCTTTCGGTCAGTTTGAGGTTTCCTCCGAGACCTGCCAACGCCTAGCCTAGTTTCCTGGACCATCTCTACCTGGTTACCACAAAGGCCCCTCAAACTCAATAGGACCCAAACGGAACTTGCTCTCTTCCTACCTGGTCTCTCTAATTTCCCTGAGTTAATGAACGACACCACTGTATTATAAGCTAAACCAGCAACCGGAGTTCTCCTGCTTCCTGTCTCTCCAGCCTCCAATATCCAATCGGTTAGTAAATCCTGTTTCCTTTACGATCTCATTCCTTGCCTGGACTATTGCAATAGTGTCTTTAACAGTCTGGTCCGACAATTTCCCAAACCACTATTTTCTCTGCTATGAGAAGGAATTTCCTAGAACTGAAATCTGTTGATCTCACTCACCTCTGTAAAACTGGAGACTCTCCATTTCCTTTCGTATAAAATGCAAGGTCTCCGGACCGGCATTCAGGCCCCCCGAGACCCAGCACTCACCGGCTGGCCTCCTCTTGTGCTCCTCGCCTCCCCAGACGTTCCTCTGAGCGCCTTGCTTTTGAGCTGGTGCTTGTCTCTCACGGAGCACACCGAGTCACTGCAGGCTGGCGGTAAGCTCGCTCCCTCTCCTCTGCACTTGTGATTCCTGCACCCAGAGTGCCCTCCCCCTTCTTTGCCTGCCAGGCTGCTGTTGATGCTCCCAGACCCCGTTGAGGTGTCTCTTCTCTCGTGATGCCTTTCTTCTCTACTTGAAGAAAAGTGACACTCCATTCTTTTTTGTTACCACCTCACATTCTACACATCTCTGTTACTGTACTTACCGTGTGCACTTGAACTTACCTGTGTGTGGATTTGTTGCCCTCACTACACTGTGAACTGCTAGAGGGCTGGATCTTCGTTTTGTTCACTGCCGTTGCCTGGACCATCGCAGGCACTCAGATACTTGCTGAACGAATAAAAATAGTGCGAAAGAATGTCCGTGCTCTGAGAGTGTGCAGAGTGCAATGGGGGATACTGGAGGATGGCCCTCACTCTTCAGAGTCAGAAAAGCCATCCTGAAGCCAGTGGAACCTGACTGTCATCGCTGGAAGTCAGTGGCCTGTGCGACGGCACAGGGAGGTGGAAAGTGACAGTTGCAGAGTACTGTGTGTGTGTGCGTGTGTGTGTGCGCATGTGCGCACCTGTGCCTGCCTTACATTTTGTTGTTCAGACCTCCCAACATCCCGAAGAGCAGTGAACTTCTCCCCTGCCCTCTGCCGTGGCCGGAGTTGTGTGTGTCCTTCAGGTTGGGTGGTCAGCCAAGGCCCCTCCAAGGAAGTGACTTTGGCTTTGAGGTCTGCATGGTGGGGTGCAAGGGCCCGGGGGAGGCTCCGGGCGGCGCCAACAGCACCAGCAAAGGCCCAAGGCAACACGTGTCAGGAACTGGCCTGCGAGTCAGTGTGAAGACGAATGGAAACTGGGTGTCGGCAGCAGTGGGAGGCCGGGCAGAGAAGAGCTGAGGCGGGACCAGAGAGGCGGCCCAGGCCAGACCACGTGATGTCCTGCAGATCGTAAGCCACCGCTCCTTTGTGACATCAGTGTATAGTAGGCAGCTCCTTTAACAAAAAAAAAAAAAGGAGCCGAGACAGACACAGCATCCACTGCATGTAGTGAGGGAAACTTGGGCGAAACTTTTATTTTAGCTCATGTATATGTCGTGCCTGCTGGGTTCTGATGTAAAACAGATTTCATGCTGTGCGCCGCAACGCACGAAGTTCAGGCTCTAGTGTGCTTTGAATAATGTGTACTTTAAAAGGCAAAGTAGTTGCGTTCTCAAGGCTTGCCTGTTTCTTATTCCTCCTTTGACCCGGGGCGACTCTGTGTGTGTGGCAGGGAAAGCTCTGAAACCAGTGGGAACCTGGAGTCGGCCAGAGGGGAGTTTTCCAGCTTCCTTCTGCGTCCGGACCTCCCTTCCACGTCAGGTGCGCTCAGTCCCTCGTGAGAGAGGACGGGCCTTTGGAAACGAGAGGAAAGTGGCGTCCTTCCCCACGTTCGGTCTGGCCGCAGGTGTGGGTGGGTGAGAGGCCGGTGGTCTCTCCGCGGGCAGCTGAGCGTGGGGTTCCTTCTGCTCTGCCGGCCTGACTTCATGACCGTAACGGTCAGATTATCTGGTCGGCTTCCACCTGCGTCTGGCTTTTTACAGTCGGAGCCCTGAGCTGCAGAATTAGGGTCTGCCTGCACATTCTAGAACCACCGTTTCCTTAAATCTGGTTCGTCTCACATACATGGCATTACAGAGAAAGAGTGTGCTAGAGTCGTCAATTGATTTACCTTTATGCGTGAAGAGAAGAGAGAAGATAATGCTAAGACTCTTGTGACTGATAAAGTGAAGTGAATATTACCCACCCTCCAAACAGAGGACCCACCTGAGTCCTGTTGGCCAAGACAGGGGCCAGTCTGCGGTCTGTGACAGGCATCAGCTGTTCCGCAAGGGTTAGGCTGAACAAATGCCTGCAAGTCACTGTCCCAAGAGAACCTTCAAAAAGAGTTTCATGGTTGCTCAGCAGAGACCAGGATTTTGCGCCATCCGGTGTTTTTAGGTTCCAGCTTTACCGTGTTTCTTCTCAACGGGTTTACTGTTTTTTTGGGGGGGTACAAATACTTCTTACCCATCCAGAAGTCCTTTTGTTACTTGACCTGATAACTTGCAGGTCCACAGCCCCGGGCAGGATATCATTTGCTGTGACTGCAACTAGAAAGCAGAAACTTGAACAATATTTTTACATATATTCTGTGATATTCGTCTCTAGGAGGGGCCAGTCATAGTTGCAAACCTGAACAGCAACCGGTGAATATAGTGCCCTAATTTTCTTCACATGGAGCTCTTTGTCTTTTTTCTGCCTTTTCATCCCCCACCCTTTTTTACTTTTTTTTGTTACCCAGCTTTTGAGATATAATTTGCATCTGACGTTGTGCAGCTTTAAGATGTACGTGGTTTGACACACGTCTGTATCACAGAATGATCGCCACTGCAGCGTTGGCTCGGCCCTCCGTCATGTCCGCAGACTGCCGTGTGTGAGTGTGAGTGTGCGAGTGTGAGTGTGAGAGGAACACTGAAGGTCTGCTGTCTTAGACAGACGGACGGTTGCTGGGGCAGAGGGCTGCAAAGGTACAGGCCTCCGGTTATGAAGTCAGTCAGTCCTGGGGATGTGAGGGATGGTGACGTAGTTAAGAACGCTGTGTTGCATGTTTAAAAGTTGCCAAATGAGTGGACCTGAACAGTTCTCTTTACAAGTAAAACATTCTTTAAAACTGTATGTGGTGATGGATGTTGACTAGACTTACTGTGGGGATCACTTTGCAACACATAGAAACACTGAATCCCTCTGCTGTAGGCCTGAAGCTAATACAATGTTATATGTCAGTCACATCTCCAAAGACACTCCAAAAACAAACACAAGAAATCATCTTAGTGGGATCCAAAATTTTTGGAAAAAAACAAAACAAAACAAAACAAAACAAAACCCAACTCTATAAATTTGTGATGAAATGCTCCTAAGGA